CAAATATAATGCTTGGAAGCGTCCGTCATCGCTGCTCGTAACGGACTGATCCCTTTTCGCGGGTAGCAACTCGACACGTGTGTCCCTTCGATCGCTCACTAACGACATCTATGAACGAGAGTCGCAACAGGCACTTTGATGCAAGAGCTTGTCAATGTGTCCACTGTACTAAAGGAGCTACTGCTTTGACACATCTCAGGAGACCAGAATAACAACCTGACATAGATTTACCACCGTCAGTACATAATCCACAACACTTTGACTACTTTATTCCCTTTTTAGTAAAGTAGGAATCAATGGCATGAAAAATATCTGCACCTGTTGTGCGTTCGGAAAGAAGATGACAAAGCAAAAGTCCTTCTACAAATTCATTTCCTTTCAAGTATCTTGCAATAACCATCAAAACAGCAAATTGTGCTACATCAGTACTCTCATCAACCTGAATGGAAAAATATTGACTGTGATTGATTTCCTTTATCAACATCTCCTCCATATTATCAGAAATTTCCTTGATTCTACGAGACACAGTATCATTGGAGAGAGGAATAGCATTAATTTTCTGAACATACTCATTACCGAACATGCAAACAACTGCGTCTTTAATGCTGGGCAAAATCAAATTTTCACCAATCGTGTGATTTTTACCATTTCTGGCGATACGGTAACTGATGCGATAGGAGGCCTCAATAGCATCTTCATTGGTACAACCAGAAGTTAAGTACGTGTCTATATTCGACTTATTTTTATTTTCGAGCAAACGCTTAAAAAAGGCCAGACCTTTATCTTTGAAATCTACGTGTTTGGTTTGCAAATGGCGACTAAGTAATGAAGGCTTCATACTACCGTTAGATAGTACTTCCCCACAAACAACACACTCAGGTCTAGGGATGCTATCAATAATTACGAATGAAAATCCATAGGACAAATACTCTTCACTATATTTTCTTACTTTTGTCGGTTGGAGAACTGGAACTGGAAGCTTAATTTCGCTGACACGCGGCAACTTCTCCTTAGGTTGCTCCTCACAAGGACTGGTACTCGATGATGGAGGATCACTTACCAAACCAGTAATTTTTCTTTTTTTAAGAGTGCCAAATTTTAACCATTGATCCATGTTTTTGATGTTTGATTTGTCATAATTAAATGTTATTTGGATGGAAATGCCATTTATTACAACAGCTTTTTATCTTTTCTCTTTACTTAGTTCGCCATTACATCTTTTTTTACGCGTACCCCTTGAGACCATTTCACGTACCCCTGGGGGTACGCGTACCACAGGTTGAGAAACGCTAATCTAGAGGATAGTTGCCATGGTTACGGCGGTTTTAAGCGCTCTCATTGGCTAAGACCTGGATTTATCTATCGGATAAATTTATCAAGAGGTGGTAAAAGTGGGCCTAAGAGTTTTAGGAGGCCTAGAATACAGTGAGGACTGTCGACACATCTTCGTGCGTTTAGGCGTTCTAACCCTGCCATCTATTTACATACTAAATTGTATATTGTTTGCTTTGAACAATTTCGACGAGCTTTTAAATCATGCTGATGTTCACAAATACGCAACTCGTAATCGTTGTAATGTGTATGTTGATATGTGTAGATTGAACATGACGCAGCGGGGTCCAACATACATGTGTTAAAAGCTATTTAATAAGTTGCCGTTGAATGTCAGAAGTGTTTCGTTTCTTACCATGAAACGTAAACTGACACATTTCTTGGCTTCGAATGCGTTTTATTCCATCGATGAATTTTTAAAATGTAATATTGATATTTCTTAGTAAGTAAATGTGAACCTGTAAATTGAACTGACGAGTGTAAGAGAACTATCTTATAGCACAATAAAGATTATGATTATGATTATGATACGATCTGGTAACTTCAAATCTCGACCCAACCGTTTGGAATTCGAGAAAAGTGATTAGAATCGTTTATGCTTAAAATTGATCATAGAATTCATATACGAAGTTTCTCGGATACCTCAGCGGACACCCTGTATAAAAAAAACAAACGTAAGATTAAAAAGCTGTTTGTCACGAGAGAATCCACTTAATGCACATCCCATTAGCATCGAGGCTTCATCGGTGCTTGGAGAATAGAGAGTAATGACTTGCAAAACGAGGAGAAAGGGATGAAATGGCTTCAACCTTTTTACGTCCCCCATCAGTTAGGAGGAGGAATATTCCGATACCCTTTGTTGCGAATAATACATCTTTCAACGGAACGTCCTTTTTACACGTCTGGACCGATGATGTACGAGCCGACCGTTTAGGTAGACGTAAGCATTAAATTGAAATAATATGTACTGGCCCCCCTTGGAGGAATCGAACGGTATAAATCACGACGTGGGGAGGTGTGACTCGATGAAATATGGCCCGGGTCCAAAGTTGCAAGGTTACGGTCTCGCCTTATTCTGACTACCCTGACCCAGCGAGAAGCTAATGGTGCCAAAAAGGACTGAAACTGCAAGGTTGGCGTAGTGCTATTTTTAAAGAAGTATCCTTCAACGGGTTAAATAGACCGCGAATGAATTCGTGATTAGCAATTCTACAACGTCAAATTTATTACTTTACGATATCTTCAATATTCGTTCTAAAAGTTTGGTTAAATATTTGATTTTTAGATCATAACTCAAAAACTAAAAGCTATTTATATTTTCATTTCCCTTTTTACCTAAATAAGACTGTTATTCAGCCAAATTCCAAGTACTAGATAAAGTAGTATAACATTTTTGAAAAGGGTGAAGTAACGATAACAATTTTCTCAAATCGGTATTCCAAGACGCCTGAATTCCAGGTTTGGAAATGCATCAATCTCTTAATCTTAACATTTGTAACTTTTTCCTGGAAGGATATATTTGAAAGCAATAGAAGTGGAGTAGTTTGAAAATTACGCCTGGAAAGATAGATCTCTGTGAATATGAAAAAATAGAAAGAAGATACTAGGAAAGCTGAAATGGGAAAATACATATTTTCCCAATTGATTTTCATTATTGAGATAAACGCTTGAAAAAATATATGACATCAAAACCTAACTAATAATAAATGTGGGAACAGTCAGTAACGTTATTCAGCACCAAAATTTAATTACGCTTTCTCAAGACCGCATCCAGTACAGAAATTTACATTACACGTGAATTCTCAGCGCCTAAACATACCTTAACATTTTCGTTGTATTTGGTAACCCAGCGGCGTTATATGCATAATTCTAATTGGACGCCGACGGTCTGGAATTTTCAGTTAATTATAAAAGACATTTCATACTCGGTAGTTAGCACGTTAAATAAATCTACGATTATTTGCTGATACTTGAAAACGGCAACTTTCACTGAATACCTTACACGTTTATTAATAATATCTGAAATGTTGATATTAATTCTCTAGGTATTCGATTTTTCACAAATTTTTAAGTACATCGATAAAAATTTACAGATTTCAAGTTTGTTCAAAAAGTCGATCAACTTCAAAAATGTGTATCTCAAAAATGTGTATCTCAAAAATTAGAAGTGATATTTCAAAACGGCAACTTTCTCTGAATAGCTGAAACATTTATTAATAATCTCTGAAATGTTCATAGTCATTCTCGCACTTTTTCACCAATTTTTAAGAACATCGATAAAAATTTACAGATTTTAAATTTGTTGAAAAAGTCGATCAAATTCAAAAATGTACCTATACCTCAAAAACTAAAAGTGATATTTCAAAACGGCAACTTTCCCTGAATAGCTGAAACATTTATTAATAATCTCTGAAATGTTCATAGTCATTCTCGCACTTTTTCACAAATTTTTAAGAACATCGATTAAAATTTACAGATTTTAGATTTGTTGGAAAAGTCGATCAACTTCAAAAATATATATCTCAAAAACTAAAAGTGATATTTCAAAACGGCAACTTTCTCTGAATACCTTACACATTTCTTAATAATCTCTGAAATGTTCATAGTCATTCTCGCACTTTTTCACAAATTTTTAGGAACATCGATTCAAATTTGTTGAAAAAGTCGATCAAATTCAAAAATGTATATTTCAAAAACTAAAAGTGATATTTCAAAACGGCAACTTTCACTGAATAGCTTACACATTTATTAATAATCTCTGAAATGTTTATACTCATTCTCAAATTATTCGATTTTTCACAAATTTTTAAGTACATCGATAACAATTCACAGATTTCAAATTTGTTGAAAAAGTCGATCAACTTCAAAAATGTATATCTCAAAAACTAAAAGTGATATTTCAAAACGGCAACTTTCACTGAATAGCTGAAACATTTATTAATAATCTCTGAAAGGTTCATAATCATTCTTGCAATTTTTCACAAATTTTTAACTATATCGATAAAAATTTACAGATATCAACTTTGTTGAAAAGGTTCATCAACTTCAAAAATGTATATCTCAAAAACTAAAAGTGATATTTCAAAACGGGAACTTTCACTGAATAGCTTACACATTTATTAATAATCTCTGAAAGGTTTGTAATCATTCTTGCAATTTTTCACAAATTTTTAAGAACATCGATAAAAATGTACAGATTTCAAATTTGTTGAAAAAGTCGATCAACTCCAAAAATGTATATCTCAAAAACTAAAAATGATATTTCAAAACGGTAACTTTCCCTGAATAGCTGAAACATTTATTAATAATCTCTGAAATGTTCATAGTCATTCTCGCGATTTTTCATAAATTTTTAAGAACATCGATTAAAATTTACTAATTTCAAATTTTTTTGAAAAAGTCGATATCAACTTCAAAAATGTATATCTCAAAAACCAAAAGTGATATTTCAAAACGGTAACTTTCATTGAATAGCTGAAACATTTATTAATAATCTCTGAAATGTTCATAGTCGTTCTCGTGATTTTTCACAAATTTTTAAGTACATCGACAAAAATTTACGATTTCAAATTTGTTGGAAAAGTCGATCAACTTCAAAAATGTATATCTCAAAAACTAAAAGAGATATTTCAAAACGGCAACTTTCCCTGAATAGCTTACACATTTATTAATAATCTCTGAAATGTTTATAGTCATTCTCGCAATTTTTCACAAATTTTTAAGAACATCGCTAAAAATGTACAGATTTCAAATTTGTTGAAAAAGATAATCAACTTCAAAAATGTATATCTCAAAAACTAAAAGTGATATTTCAAAACGGCAACTTTCCCTGAATAGCTGAAACATTTATTAATAATCTCTGAAATGTTCNACCCAGCGGCGTTATATGCATAATTCTAATTGGACGCCGACGGTCTGGAATTTTCAGTTAATTATAAAAGACATTTCATACTCGGTAGTTAGCACGTTAAATAAATCTGCGATTATTTGCTCATACTTGAAAACGGCAACTTTCACTGAATACCTTTCACATTTATTTAATAATCTCTGAAATGTTTATACTCATTCTCAAAGTATTCGATTTTTTACAAATTTTGAAGTACATCGACAAAAATTTACAGATTTCAAGTTTGTTGAAAAAGTCGATCAACTTCAAAAATGTATATCTCAAAAACTAAAAGTGATATTTCAAAACGGAAACTTTCGCTGAATAGCTTACACATTTATTAATAATCTCTGAAATGTTTATAGTCATTCTCGTAATTTTTCACAAATTTTTAAGTACATCGATAAAAATTTATCAAATTTGTTGAAAAAGTCGATCAACTTCAAAAATGTAAATCTCAAAAACTAAAAGTGATATTTCAAAACGACAACTTGCGCTGAATAGATTACACATTTATTAATAATCTCTGAAATGTTCATAGTCACTCTCGCAATTTTTCAAGTACATCGATAAAAATTGACAGATTTCAAATTTTTTTGAAAAAGTTGATGAATTTCAAAAATGTATATCTCAAAATCTAAAAGTGATATTTCAAAACCGCAACTTGCACTGAATAGCTTACATATTTATTAATAATCTCTGAAATGTTCATAGTCACTCGCAATGTTCACAAATTTTCAAGTACATCAATAAAAACTTACAGATTTCACATTTTTTTGAAAAGGTCTAACAACTTCAAAAATGTATATTTCAAAAACTAAAAGTGATATTTCGAAACGGCAACTTTCACTGAATAGCTTACACATTTGTTAATAATCTCTGAAATGTTCATAGTC